TCCTGTGCTCATTTCCCTTGCTGCCTTCTTGGGATAAAAAGGTATTTGCCTGGGGATTTATGGGAAGTGACAGAAGTTTCAATATGATCCCCCAAAGCATACCTTAACTTGCCTTCCTTAAGCTCAGCAGTATAGAAAGACATTTGTCATGACTGTTCCCTTCCTAGAGAAGCACACAGAAGCCATTTGTGGCTGATGAACCTGCCTGTACAAGAAAGACATTTGTCATGACTGTTCCCTTCCTAGAGAAGCACACAGAAGACATTTGTGGCAGATGCACCTGCCTGTACAAGAATCATCTCTTTTAGAGCTGAAGAGAGGGAAGGAACTCAACTTGTTCCTAAATTTGAACTCTCAATCTGGCGACTTGACAGATAGTGGTTTCCTTGCTTGTTGGTGGAACTGTTCCCAATCTGACCTACCTCCCACCATAACAGCACAGAACCTTGGGTAAGGATGGTAAACCTCTCTTCTTCAGACTACATTTCACTCAAGAGCTTTCTGAGGGATGGTTTATCTGCTGTTTTCCTGAGAAGTTGCAGATAAAACAATTTGTCACATTCTTGGAAGTAATTTGACATAATTTTCAGAGAGTTTTCTTCTTTCATTTAAATAGGTAAGAGCACAAAGAAATGAAACATCATCAATAGCACCATGGCATTCAGCCAGATATTTCCTTACTTACAGGTCACACACTACAGTTTAAGTGTGTATATGTATATTAGCACACAAAGGTGAAGATAACTCCTTCAGAAACCTTTGGTGATCGTTATCACTCTTCATCTAATTTCTAAGTACTCCCCCGCCTCCTGCCACCCATTAAGGAGACCCCAGTATACTGATCAAAGTAAATGTAAATGTGTAAATGTGTATATGTGTTCAGTGTAAATGTGTTCTTTGGTAGTTCCAAGTGTGTGTTTAGAATTTTGACCAGTGTATGGGCTCCCTGGGAAGAGCAGAAGAAGCTAGAACTCTCTGGTAATTCATTTTTGGCATAAATGCCTCATATGCCATACCCCATGAAGTTCACCACACAGCTGACTTTTAGCAAGATGTTCACTTCATCAGTGAAGACACTATTTGCAAAACTTGCTCTAGGATAACCACATACAAAAGAAAAAAGTTGGACCCTTTCTCACACTGTACAGAAAAATTAACTCAAAGCAGATTATAGACTTAAATGTAGAGCTAAAACTGTAAAACACTTAGAAGAAAATGTAGGAGAGAATTTTCATTACCTTGGGTTATATAAAGTCTTTTTGGATAGAATGCCAAAAGCAGTAGCAACAAAGTAACAATAAATTGGGCTTTATCAAAATTAAAAACTTTTCTGCTTCAGTAGAGACCTTCAAGAAAGTGAAAAGACAACCCACAGAATGGAAGAAATATTTGCATATCATATTTCTTATAAAGAACTTATATCTAGAATATGTATATAAAAACTTTTACAACTCAATAACAATAAAACAAATAACTCAATTAGAAAGTGGACAGGATTTAAATAGACATTTCTCCTAAGAGGAAACACAAATGGACAATAAGCACATGAAAAGATGCTCAACTTCTTTAGCTATGATGGAAATGCAAATCAAAATCACAGTGATACCATTTTACACTCACTAGAATGGCTATCATCAAAAAGATAGATAACAACAAGTGTTGACAACGATGTGGAGAAACTGGAAAACTCAGACACTGATTAGGAAGGGAAAATGGTACAGCTACTTTGGAAAAGTCTAACAGTTCCTTGGAAGTTAGGCAAAAAAATACCATATAACCCAGTAATTCTACATCTAGATATATCCCTAAGAGAAATTAAAACATATGTGCATGCAAAAACTTTTACAAAATGTCTGTAGCAGCAGTATTCATAATGGCCAAAATTTAGAACAACCCACATATCTACCAACTGGTGAATGGATAAACAAAATGTGTTATTACCCTTACCCATGCTAGGAAATATTATTTGGCAATAAAAATGAATGAAGTCCTGATACATGCTATAATATGTATGCTAAAAACATCATGCCAAGAGACTGAAGTCATTCACAAAAGACTGTATGATCCATTTTCATGAAATGTCTAGAATAGGCATATCTTCAGAGTTATTGGTAGCCTAGGGCTGGGGTGGGAATGGGGGAGAAAGGAGGAGTGTCTGCTAATGGATTTCTTTTTGGGGTAGTGGAAATGTTGTAAAATTGACTGTGGGGATGGTAGCACAACACTAAATGTACTCAAAACAACTGAATTGTACAATTTATATGGGTGACTAGGATACCATGTAAATTATATCTCAATAAAGCTGTTAAATATTTAAAAAGAAACCTCACTTCAGACCTTGGTTCTTAGCCCTGGCTACTCCTTAACATCACCTGGGAGGACTTCTAAAATTCCAATGCCCAGGCCAATCCCTAAATCAATTACATCAGAATCTCTCTGGGCAGAACCCAGTATTTTATTTTATTTTATTTTTTTGCTTTCTTTGCCCAGGTGATTCCAAGGTGCAGCCAAACATGCAAACACTGAGTTTCCTGCTGAGGGGTAAAATTCCACAGTACTCACTTCCCCTTATAGGTGTTCCTGCCTAGTGTCCTATCAGATGACATGTCATCTTACACACTTGCCAGGAGTTATCACTATGATGTTAATTGGCACCTTTAGGGTCACTCTCCAGAAGATACCAATATTTATAAGAAGATACTGAATGGGGGCCCTCCTCTCCTGGAGGTCACTGAGGAGGGACATTACAGGATATTATACTCTATTCAGTGAATACTTGAACTTCTCATTTTCTTTTTCTTCATAGGTAAACTGTGTAGTTAGACTTTTACAGCTTTTATTTTGTAATCTTTGGAGTGTTCAAAAAGGTGTTTTGAAACAAAATGTACGAACTAATCCATTTATCTAATTACTTGAGGAGTTTCACTTTGGTTCTTTTCATCTAAAATCCCATAGTTTCAAAGCTATTAATTTATTGCTAGAACAGTCCAATCCATTGCACAGAAAGAACTTATAAACAGAAGCTGGGAGTGCTGTTTTTCTTGTTATCATTACCAGAACTGATGACCAATTGTACTCCCTTAAAAAATGTATTAGTTGTTGCTTTCCTATTCTTAAGCATAACTATGAGTCGAAACACTACTTTATATGACCTCAAAAATGAAAATGACATGTTCCTCAATTTAGAAGTCAGGAGTCAAGGCAGCAGTTAGAATTCAACACAGGTCATAAGGAGTTCCAGACATCGAATGAAGTGTGCAATCACTACACTATACACCTGAAACTATTACACCCTATGTTAACAAACTGTGATTTATTTAAAACTTTAAAAAATACAAAGAAAAAAGTATTTGACATATAGTCACTTTCAGTTTTATTAAGGAAAAAGACTAGCTAAATATTTTAAAACATTAAGATCCTCTTACTATAGTTAAAAGTTGCTATCAAGTTTTAAGTAGTAGAATTTATTCACTGAGGGCAAAAAGACAGCCTTTTGGGAGATGATGAACACTGGATTTGTAAAGAAAAAAAAAAACAACAGTGTTTGAGGATTGGTTTGGAATTTTTGATGCTTTGAAATCAGACACTTGGGAATAACCCACCAAGGCAATTAATTATCTTGGATGTGATATGTAAATCGGTCATTTTGTTGCTTAGAGATTTGTTCTACATTTCTGAAAGTAGGCTCATAATGTAAAACCGTATCCAGCCTATCGATGGGCACACAGAAACACTTTCTCTGTCTCTTTTGCTCTTTCATCCTTTGGCACGCAATAATGAACAAACGAAGAAAACATATGTCCCTTTGCAATTACAGGGTAATTTTTATCAATGTTAATGTGCACAGTGAAGCTGGTTCTCGCATGAATGTGCATTTTAGCCCAGTCTCCTTTTATATGGAATTGATCTCTCATCATCTAGGGTGGCTATTCTACTTTCAAAGGTGAAGGAGAGCTCATTTGATCAAAACAAAGCAGCTGTTGGAGGAGAAGTCATTTCTCTAGTCTATCAAGTTATTGTAATTGTAACTTCTCTGGAAACCTAAAAATTGACAGCAAAATCATAATTCAAAGCCACAAGTATCCTCTATATTGTACTATAACTGATTATGTGGCAATGACAAGAATGATGCAGAGTGGAGAGACTGAAAATGCCTAGTGACTAATACCAGGAATTAACCCTTATGTGTTGAAAATGGGATTGAACACAGCTTTACAAAGATTCTAAGATATGAGTCATAGAAGCTGACACACGCAGTTTACCTGTGTGAAACCAGAAGTTCACACAGTCACCCAGAAGAGCATACTATCCTTCCTTGGGACAAGATAAGGCAAGGAGGCATAGAGAAAGGAAAATGTAGACAAACAAAAACTCAGGTCTTTGAAAATAACCACAAAATTCCACACATTCATTTTTGCCGAGTTTTGCTCCCCTTAGTCTACCCAAAAGGTACAATGGTGGCAAAAGCAACCAATCTGAGCCGAGCGACACAAGGGTAAGAAATATATCGTCAAAAGGCAGGACCTGTTACTAACTTTGGTGCTGAGCAAAATGAAAATGCAGGGATCTCGTTCAAAAATTATGAAGAATTTCAAGGTGGTAACAGCAAACCCCTAACTAAAGCAATCACAGGTTGCTGTCCACACAGTCAACCCTGCCAACAGGTTAGAAATAGGGAGGCAGCATCTGCCTAACCTATAGCTGGGTCTGCTGTCTTCTAGCTAGTTTAGCTTCTCTTGGCAGAATGCACATGTACACAGACTCTACAGCTTAGGAATGACCTTGTGTCACTTTCTCACTTATGGAAACCAACACCCAGAGAAACTAAATGACTTGTCTAAGGTCATGAGTTGAACGACAGAGCCGGCACTACATCCCAGGTAGCCCGACTCCCATACTGACATTCTTTCCCCTACATCATCCTACTGGTCTCCAGTTTAAATGTAAATAATTAGGAAGTACTAGCTACAAAAAAGGGGGCAGAGAGGGGAGGACATTACCTCATCAGAACTTCCTTTTCAACTCTTCTGTGCAAATAATAAAGTGCGGTCTAAAAATCCGTTTCAAATTCCTTTTCTGAGTCAACTCTTCCACATCCTAGGGAAAAGACATCATATAACAGCTTCAGACACTGAAGCAAATTACCTTCGCCGCGAGCTTGCTTGAGCCCTTGGAGTTAATGATCACAAACCAAGGTGGTTATTAGCGGAGGGTTATGAGGCAATGCATTAGTAAACTAGTCAGTCTACTGCACAAATATTTAAAATAATTCCGAGATAATCTGAACTTTAACACTGAGCTAGCCAAATGCATTTGTAATCTGAACCCAAGGTTCTAATAAGTTACTGCCTTTTGGATGTCCTTCAACGTGAGGGACATTTTTAGAAAGATTAGCACTTGAGTGGAAACAAAGACTGACATTTTCAACATAAACATGAGACCGGGATCTTTTTTTTTTTTTTTTTTTAACAATACAAAACGCACATGTCTTCCTCACTCAGGTGTACGTGTAAACTTAGCACATCAAAACATCTGATGCAAGGTCACTGTTGTTAAAAGATACTGTACAAATCAAATATAAAGGAGCCTTAAAAGCTTATGAAATACATTCAACCAGGTGATGAAAGAGTTCAAGGTAGGCTGGCAAACAGCTTGATGAATCTTGGAACACTGAAAAACAACAACAACAACAACAAACCACTGTTCAGAGAGGCAAAAGACACCTGTCAAAGCCCCTCGACGAGGCACGGGAATTAGGACCAGATAGATCTCCAGTTCAAATCCCAGCTTCACGTATATTTTGCTTCTGTAAGCTGTGGCTAATTCATCGCAAAATGGCATTGATCTGAAAGTCAAACTGCTAGATCAGATGCTTTCTAGATGACTTGGTGATCTCTGAAACCTACAATGCACACAACTTTAATTATGCCTATTAAGTTGCCCCTTAGAATTTTTCCTGGGGTGGGTGGGGTTAAAATTGATTTTGCATATCCAACGTTTTCCATAACTTTACAGTCTGTAGGTAGCAACAGGGAAAAACAAAATATTCTCTGGCTCGGATAAATTTTGGCGTAATTATAGGTCTGGTATGTGGAAAATGAGGGCCGGATGAAAATGGTGCAGAGACATGAGTAACCCAAAGAGTCTGAGGCTACAGCACTTATATCTCATTAACCGCCAATTACCATATTTATAATTTAACACAAAAAGGAAAAACACAAATGGGGTTTTGAAAAAATCTCTTTTATCTAGACTTCAGTATATACTTGGTTGCTACAGGCAGAATTAATGCAATAGGTTGAGAAAGGGAGTAGTTAGATTGAGAAATAAAAACTTTTTGATAACAGGCAAGGCTATAAAAATGGCTTGGCTGAACCTATTAACCAAAGATAAATAATACCTTGCAGGAGGAAAAGAAAGCCTTTTCTGGATAATAAAGTTTGGCATGTTTTTAAAGACCTTGCTTTCACTAAAAATGTAATACATCCAATTTAAAGACACATTTTTAAAATTTGTGATTTCATAACATTTTTGCATCTGAAATCTTGTCTCTGGTCTGACAATACCATGTTTGAGACTTTCATCAAAACATGGGGAGAAAACCAGCTCTTATTTATTTGTGTGATTTCATTATTAATCTTCCTATTACTGCTATCTGTATTATTACTATTGCTATTCTTACTACCACTCCCACTACTAATGCTGTTAACAACTACTGCATTCACATCTGCATTTCTAAATGACCATATGATGGGAATTCTAGTGAATAACTTTTTTACCCCTTTAGTAGGTAAATATTTATTTTCATAAGTAACTACAAAACAGTTTTCCAAAGTGAATGTACTTTTTGCCCTCCCATCAGCAATATATGAAAATTCAAATTCTTCAATGTTCTCATTGAAACTTGGTGTTATCCTTTTTCTTTATTTTACCCATTCCAGAAAATACTGAGTGGTTTCTTTTTATTTTTCTTTCTTATTTACTTTATTTTTTAAATTTAAATTCAATTAATTAATATATAGTGTATTATTAATTTCAGAGGTAGAGGTCAGTGAGTCATCAGTCTTATATAAAACCCAGTGCTCATTACATCACCTGCCCTCCTTAATGTCCATCACTCAGTTACCCCATCCCCCCCTCCCCTCCAGCAACCCTCAGTTTGTTTCCTATGATTAAGAGTCCCTTACGGTTTGTCTCCCTCTCTGATAACATCTTATTGTTCAGCCCCTGAGTCTCTGGCTGGCTCTCTCTGGTGAGTCTACTTATTGTCTCTACCTCAGTGCAGTCTATGGGCCGGCCAGAAGCATTGTCACCTGGAAGCTTATTACAAATGAACCTACAGAACCCGAAGCTCTGGGGTTGGGGGGGCTAGGAATATGTGCCTTGACAAGCTCACCCAAAGGTCTGATGCTCAAATTTGCAGAGGAAGTTGACCCAAATGCTAGGGAATAGAGAAAGGAGGGATGGGAGAGAACTGAGGAGGAACACCTGGAGCAACCACCTGCAGACTTGACCTTGTCTGCTTCAGGGCAGGCTGCCAATGCCAAGGAGAAGAAAGCAAAGTCTGGGACAGGTTTGCAGGAAAGAGAGCTCCTTCCTGCCCCAGGATGTGGTTGCAGAGGCTCCTGCCTTCAGCTTCCAGCTTCCAGGAGGAGAAGGCACCACCAGAACTTCCCCCAGCCATTGCTTATCTCTTTTGCCTGCCAAATGTTAAAAAGGACAAGACTCCTTATTTTTTGTCAATGCAGGCAAGTCAGATGGAATCAGCTGCAGTTTCTGAATTAGTATTTTTTCAGGTGTAAGGTTTATGCATTTCAGGGGCTCAATGATCCCCAGCCCCACCAAATCAAAGTCTCTAGGGGTTTCAGGAGGCTTTAAAAATCACTCCAAAGCTGTGTCAAATTTGGGTACTGTTTTATTTATTTATTTTTTTGTCTTACTTAACACTTAGTTTGAGATGACGTTTCAAAATACATGCACTCATCCGTCTGTCTTCCCTCCCCTCTTTCTTTCCTTTTGTAGTAACATGCTCTCAATAACACAAGAAAATTTGAAATACACACACTCACACAAGAAAAAATTATCTGTACTTCCATCATCCACTTTGATAAATAGAGTTAGATAAAATAACATGTATCAATTAAATAAAATTAGGATATAAAATGGTCACCCAATATCCACGAATAGATACCACAAAATATTCTTGTCATCTATCTAGAAGCTTTTGTCTAGATTTTCTACTTTATAAATAATCATAAACAAATTTATAAAAAAATAACTTTGTATTCATTCCTGACCAAAAGACCTTCATGGTCAATTCCCAGAACTGGAATTTCTGGTTCAAAAAAGTGCTTCACACACATTGCCAAAATGCCCCTAGAGAGAGAGTACCAGTTAAGGACCATATTAGGTTGTAAATTGATAGAGCCATTTTAAAGAAACTTTCATAATCTAGATATGGAAACCTGAGTATATGTATACTTTTAGGTTTGGGAAGACCACATCATGGTGTAAAACCTAGTGTGGCTTTTTTTTTTAAAGACTTATTTATTTATTATTTGAAAGAGAGAAAGAGAAAGTGTGTATGCATGAGCAGGGGGAGTGGCAGAAGGCTAGAGAGGGGAAGCAGACTCCCTGCTGAGGAGCCCAACGTGGGGCTTGATCCTATGAGCCTAAGATCATGACCTGAACCAAAATCAAGAGTTGGATGCTTAATCAACTGAACCACCCAGGTGCCCCTAGAGTGATTCTTGCTTAAGGAAATACTCACAATAGTGAAAAGTTGGAAATAACCTAAATATCCACCAATATAGGAACAAAGGGATAAATATAACATAGTAGCTAAAATTTTTGAACTACAGGGGCACCCGGGTGGCTCAAAAAAATCTAAAAAGTAATATATGAACTAGATCTATATGTATATACCTAGATCTATCTCTAAAACATAATGGCATAATGTTACATGTAAAAATTCTTGGTCAAAGTACACGTACAGGATGGAATTATTTATGTAAAATTTTAAAATTATTTGTTTTTACCACCATCTTGACATTTGGAATGATGGTGCAAAATCAATGGTGGGTAAACCTGTGGGACTTAGCATGGATTGAGGCAGCAGCACCAGTGGCATGAATAGTCCCTGTGTCTTTCATGGCATATGCACTCTAGTCTGACCAAAACCAAAAAAGCCAGTTTCATTCAAGAGTGTCTTTAATAAAATAATAAAATTGATTTTAATTAGGGCACCTGGGTTGCTCAGTAGGTTAAGCCTCTGCCTTCGGCTCAGGTCATGATCTCAGGGTCCTGGAATCGAGCCCCACATCAGGCTCTCTCTCGGCAGGGAGCCTACTTCTCCCCTCTCTCTGCCTGCCTCTTTGTCTACTTGTGATCTCTCTCTCTGTCAAATAAATAAATAAAATCTTTTAAAAAATGATTTTAATTAAATCTCAATACTAGACCACTTTAAAAAAAATATTCTGAGTGACAAAATAGTATGAATATAGCACTTCTGTTGCATATGAAAGTATGATGGTTGAATTGTGAGCTGAACTACCTGCTTTCTTTATAGAATGTCATTTTTCTGATTCATGAACATGGAATGCTTTTCCCATCTTTTTGTGTCTTCTTCAATATCTTTCATGAGTGTTTTGTGGTTCTTAGAATATAGATCCCTTTCGAAGAACGGGGAACCCTCCTACACTGTTGGTGGGAATGCAAGCTGGTGCAGCCACTCTGGAAAACAGCATGGAGGTTCCTCAAAAAGTTGAAAATTGAGCTACCCTATGACCCAGCAATTGCACTACTGGGTATTTACCCTAAAGATACAAATGTAGTGATCCAAAGGGGCACATGCACCCAAATGTTTATAGCAGCAATGTCCACAATAACCAAACTATGGAAAGAACCTAGATGTCCACTAGATGTCCATCAACAGATGAATGGGTAAAGAAGATGTGGTGTATACACACACACACACACACACTGGAATTCTGTGCAGTCATCAAAAGAAATCTTGCCATTTGCAATGATGTGGATGGAACTAGAGGGTATTATGCTTAGCGAAATAAGTCAATCAGAGAAAGACAATTATCATATGATCTCCCTCATATGAGGAAGTTGAGAGGCAACATGGGGGTTTAGGGGGTAGGAAAAGAATAAATGAAACAAGATGGGATCGGGAGGGAGACAAACCATAAGAGACTCTTAACCTCACAGAACAAACTGAGGATTGCCGGGAGGAGGCGGGTAGGGAGAGGGTGGTGGCGTTATGGACATTGGGGAAGGTATGTGCTATGGTGAGTGCTGTGAAGTGTGTAAACCTGGCGATTCACGGATCTGTACCCCTGGGGCTAATAATGCATTATATGTTAATAAAAAAATAAAAAATTTTAAAAAAGAATATAGATCCTTTACCTCTTTGGTTAGGTTTATTCCAAGTTATCTTATGGTTTTTGGTGCTATTGTAAATGGAATTGATTATCTAATTTCTCTTTCATTGTTAGTGTATAAGAAAGCAACTGAT